GCGGGCGAGAAATTGTCACAGTGACAGTGAGCCAGTTTGCCGAGCAATCGTCATACGAACATCCAATGCGGATGACGAAATCACGACAATTAACGACTCGGACTCGGGCCGACAAGCCACCACCGCATCAATTACGACTCCAGCGGTGATTGCGAGAACTGTTAAGTGCAGTGCGCATACGGTCCACAGTAGCCACGTACTATAAGTACTGCACTCCTGGTGCCACCATCACCTTTATCTGCGAATGTCTCTGATGATGTATTCGAGTGAGAATCCGAAACGTCAGGCCAATAAATTTCTTGTTCCAGTGATCGCATCTTCATCTTCTGAGCTGCTACTTGGAACTCGCCTGTTCGCTTCTATCAGAAGAATAATACTAATTTGCGTAGAACGGTTCCTTTGCCAGAACTCAGGCCTTGTGTCCATTCTAGATTAGTAAACAGGTTCCTCGCAAAACAGACTGGGGTATTTATTAAGTCGGTAAAACCGATTTATGTAAGATAGTTCTTTATAAGCAGAGCAGGCCTACTGCAGTAACGAAAAACCCGATCATGGAGCCTCTTACTGGAGAAAACACTGCACCCAGGCGGGACACTGGCTTGAGGGCAATGCGAAAATCAAACCTGCTGGATTATCGGACACTGAGTTCAGAAACTCCTGGAATGTAGGATGAGGAGCAGAATTTCCACCACATTGCATCGACATGCGAGTTGGCGACTCAGGATACACATCAATGAACACAAGCTAGCCATCCGCCGACATCTTCCCCTGTCCCTCCTGTTGGCATACGAGACGATGTACAACACATCCTCCCATAGATGTCTTCCCGTTGATCACTCTGTGTCCTCTACATACTAGTACGACAATCTCATCCCCCATCGTCTGACAACGGGTTAGCTTAGCCTGCGTGAAAGGTCATGAGTACGACTCTATTTTTCTGGCAGACCTTCTCCATTCTAAAACATTTATATATTATGACAGATGGCCGCTCACTGATCAGGCTACGGAACGTGCTTGTTCCGTTGTGCCTTGTAGCTCATACTAGAACCCTCGCAGACAGTCGCACAGCGACTAGTAATAGAAGTTAATGAGATGGTACCGACAAAGACAAGGGACGGTTAATAAGCCAGAAATGGCCATTCCAGTCTCCCTTGTCTTTGTTGGTAATGTCATTCTGGCTATATTACGTGGCGCTGTGCGGCTGCTGGTTGGGTTCGAGAGAGAAAGCCCTTAGACATAACGGAGTAAGCGAGTCCCATAACATGACCGGTGAGCGCACCTCTTCCACATATATATGTATTTAGGTATTCACAGAGATGAGGGACGACAGAGAACGCAAGTAGTTTGATACAGTACTGTCTAGGGCTCATTGTGCCTTCACCCAGCCAATTATAGCCCTGATCAGAAATACCAGCATGCGCAAGGACACACCTGGGGCGGCTGGCCCACCGCTGGGGTCCACCAGTTGGTCCCAGCAGCTGACCAGGGCCATGATTGGCGGAATGAAGGCAAAATGAGCCCCAGACAGTACGGTGTCACTCTACCCTTATTCTCTGTCGTCCTTCCTCGCTGATATTACGATGTGGCCGACTTCCGCCTGACAGTTGGTTGCCTGATTCCGACCTTCGCCACCAATACAGGCTTGTTTGCTTCGGGAAGCCAATAGATCGTCGTGCGCCAATTCGTGTACGTCAAGTATCCCTGGTGAATTGTTACGGTATGCTCATCGCGAACATACTTTTACGTGGCAATTTAAAACTGCCTCTCATATTCAAAAGGTGCAGGTGACAGGCTTTCTGTTGAGAGGTCAATTTTCGAAAGAAATGCTTGCGGCGGACTGAATCCAACAACTCCTAATCTAGTGATTTGATTTTCAGTTCATCCTGATTGAGTAATATAATGACAAGTATCAGATCGCATATATGAACCTTTATAGGATAAAGTAATAACAGGTACTAAGTTAAAACCCAATCAGTGTTTCACCGAGTTTTTGTTGCGACTGAGAGGGATGGATATCCCCAGTGTATCCCACGACTTCTCCAGGTCTCCTCAGAGCGGGAGACAAGATGATTCCATCTGAAATTAGTTGATTAGCTTTAAGGTAGGCCTCAGGACTCGACTACTCGAGATCGGTGCACAAGTTAACTGAGTGTATTATGTAACCTCAGTAGGGTAAGTGAGTAATGTTCACGTATGCCACCAGGAGCACTGACTGCTGTATTATAGTACCCAGAAAGGACTTTGCCCTATGCATAACACGACGGCAGTCCGACCGTCTTTGCTGACGAGGTCCACTGTCTGCTCCATAGCAAGGTGGTTCAGGCACTTTGGCTTGCGCGTGAATTAGTTTATAGTGAAATTATACTCGCGCAGCACCTACCACGCTCTGTCCTCTTTCCCCATCTGTGCCCGGTGTCAAAACATAGTGAAGGAGACGAGAGGCGGGCAAGGGCGCAGGTGGTTGGCACGGCCGGACCCTCACCCAGGCGTGCCACCAAACCCCATGGTCCACAACACTTGACCAGGTTTTTAACCAACTATAAGGGGTCAAAAAGAGGAGGAAGATAGGGCACCCAAGCACCCGACCCGCATACCCAGCGGGAGCGCAAGCGCATCTACCGGCAGGAAACCAGGTGCCGGAGAACTGCCAGAACGTACCAGACTGCGAGGGCCATGGTTTGCTGATTCAAGGCATAACAGGCGCACACGCTCCTTAAAGCCCATGCATAGCACACGTAGTTATTAAAGGCCTAGCCGCGTAGTTAGCGAATTCGCCTGTTGCCTACCTCCTCGGTTTGATTGATGTGTAAGTATTTAGTCCAAAAACTCACTACACTGATTTCGTCTCAAAAAGAAACAACTTGCCTGTGGAAGATATGCCACTATGTACATCACAACGACGGCTAGAAGCATCCTTGTGGGCTGCGTAATGTGATGGCAGATGTCATATCCACGACAGGATTTAAAAAACAACAGTGGTAATCCACCATCGTTCTGTGGTCCACTCATCGTCACCACAGACGACCGCATGGAGTCGTTCTGCTTCACCCTCTGTCTGCAGCGTCGCGTTGATCGGATCTTCCTTATCAGCAGCGCACTCATGGATGCCATGAGAAGAATGGGAATGGCCTTGACCAGGAGGGCGGAGTTGAAGAACAGGATGGTCTGCAGGACGGGATTGTCAACGTAGTCTACCTCGTAGAGCTCCTCGCTGGTGTTGGCGACGGCGGCGGTGGTGGCGTTGCTACTGTTTCTGTTCGCCCACACTGACCGATACTGGTGATGAAATGTCACCCTGTGAGCTATGAGTAGGGGCACGGTCAAAAGCAGAGACATAAAAGCCACTAAAACCATCAACAGCCTTATCCGGGGTCGACTGCAGACTCGACGTGCTCGTGTACCCGCATGCACGTAGACGAGACGGTAGGCAGCCAGCACAACAATAGTCCAGGTGGAGAAGGTGTGAAAGACATTCTGAGCGACAATGCAAATTAGGAGGACGTAGGCCAGGCGTTGAGGCATACCGTTCTCCAGTCGGGGTGAAATCCGGAAGTTGGTGTCGTAGACAATGTAGATGGACATCACCAGACTGTCGGAGACAGCGATCATAGAGAGCAGGAGGTTGCTGGAGTTGCGCATATGGCTTTGCATAAGGACAATCACATTGAAACTATTCATGCATATGCCCAGGACGCAGAGGAGAAGGGAGAGGTAGGCGTGGCAGCGGTGGTAAGTTCTGCTGAAATCTGCAAGCCAGGGCACCAAGTCCTCAGTGCAGTTGAGGGCGACCACCACGGAGGCGGCGGAGATGTCCTGGGAGGGCTGCTTACCCATTCTACTGAAGGGTGGTAATGGTTCGGAGAGGAGGATTAGTCAGTACGTGTACGTCCTGTTCTGAGCTGAAGCAAGTGGCCTGATTCCTAAGGAGCGCGCATGTTTGGGTGTTGCCTGATTGGTGGACGATCTCGAGTATATTTAATTGGCCGACATGGTCAAGACTCATCCACGCCTTCAAAGTAACACCAGTTTTTCTACTTACGGTCTTCGAATGTTCTTTCCTAGGCTTGCCTACGTCAGTAAAATATGTAAAGATCACCAGCTTTAGAAGAGATGGTCCTTTTAAACAGGAAGCCATAGTAAAACCGCAAATTACGGTGTTCCGTCTGACTGCTGAATAGCCCAGTCGTCTTGTCAGAACAAAATTAAAACCCTTTGACAACATTTGCAAGTATTTGTCCTACAGTGAACTTTCTCAGACACCATTTAAGGCTGATGATTATTCATAGGAATAACGTTGCATCCGAGTCACTGTTGGTGTCATGTGTGATCCGTTTGCCTTAAAAAAGGCGTACAGATGCCTCTGTCAAAAGTTTTCATATGCTTAAAGTATCCCCCACGCCCTCAAACTATACTTCATCCGACATATTAATAGTTTCGTAGTAATGAAAGAAAAGATTCGAAGTATGCAGTTCCGCTGATTAAGGCACGTTACCTGAGTGCTTTATCCTTAAATAAATAGGCCTACATAGACGACTTTCCAAACTAAAGCACGCAATATTTGCTAAACCGTAATCTAAAGCAAATTGACAGATAAAGAGAACTTTGAAGGTAACTAAATAAATCTAACATTTTTAAAAAAATTTCGAGAGGAAGCCATGATAAAGCACGGTGATTTTCAACCGAGAAATTTTGATTCAAATTTTAAACCAACACACGCATATCAGGTTAGCTATCAAGGTATGTATGCAAATACTAAATCGGTCAAAAGGGCACTATAGGAAGTTTTGGAGGGTATGGTTTTTTACTCTTAATGCACTTCTCACTCTTCAGTAACCTATCATAGGGTATAATGCATTATTACAACCAAATAAACACGCTCGGCTACCGTTTGTAGAAGACATTCGGAGCAAAATTATATACAGAGCCTGTAATTAAATTCTAATGCATCCAAGCGCTGACGATTAGAAGAGCAATTAGCAGCATAAGCTGAGGACCCCGATGTAGTAACTCGCATGGTAAAATAGTCAGCGGAGTTCAATCACGTTTCGCACCAAAGGTTTTCCGACCGTGACCCTCTTCCCGCGACGGAAATGTTAAATTAAACAACCGTCCGCTGGGTGTTTGATGAGGCAGAGAGTCCTCAGGTGGAATCGTTCTCACCCTCCTCCTTAAACTCGGATCTGCGCGTCTTGCGGGATTGCGCTCAACCCTGAGGGGTCTGCAAGAGAAAACGCGCTGAAGAATCCGATCAACATGACCCACAAAGTAAAACCGCTTCCGAAATATTCATGTGGAATTACAACTACTGCTAATACTACTACTCCCACTACCACCATTACTATTATTGCCACGACTATACGCACCAGTCAAGAAACCACCTCCGAGCATTCGAATGATACTGAGCAATAAATTGTTTCGTACTATTTGTATATTGCACAGCATAAGCCACCAGTGGCTGACCCGCGGCAAAATCTACGAGAACAGGTCCATCAACGCCAAAAGTAAATATTCAATTTTTTAATGATCTTGGTAACAAGCTAGCAATTCCTAGGTCGGACTTCGTGTCGTACATCATCCTCCGGAAATTTAGCGAACATCTGTGGGTACTTTGTGAATGCTTGCGACAGGCATTAGGCTCTGTTGGACACGGGAACTAGTACTCCGTCCGTATTCCAAAGGGTTTTGAGTTAGAACGCATTTATCAAAACGGGAGGGTCCGCAGTCCCTATCCAACCTTAAATTCAAACGGGCGCAACAATGATCAATGTGCTGTCTTTCCTGCATACTGCTGAAGCGAGTCCCTGACTGCGAGACAGAGAAAATATCGACATGACAAAAGCAAACAATCGACTGACCGTCCAGTCGGCAGGTGCATGAGTCAATCACTAAATTGAATCGGGGACGCAAAGAGACATGTTGACGACTAACCACTATGCCATCAGAGTCTAGGCAGATGATGTTCAGGTAAAAGTGCTGACGGATGTACATGGGCGTACCAGCGCGATCCTCCAGCGCTGGCGCAGAAGTGCGCCGTCACAGACCGACGACCTTTCACAACACGCACTTTGTCAAAAGTTCAAAGGCACCGTCATTACCGAAGGAGCATCTACAGTAGATTTGCTAACTCATGAAGTGTCAACCAAAATTTCGAAATCCGTTCTCGTTTCGAAAAGATAAATTAAGTAGTGTTGTAAAGCTAATTATGATGCAGCATAAATCTATAATGATCCAGTTAACTCAGGGTGTCGGCTTTCGAAAGAACTTATCTTCGGCTGCATGCAAGATCTATACTCTGCAAAAAATGGCTACTTAAGTAGTATGCAATTTTCTCATTGATTTTCGGTGCCCTTGAAAATTCAATTATATTTCATGGAAAACATGATAAAAATGTTCGTTCTTTTACTTATTCGGTAGAAACCCACGTCTTTTCCCAATTTAATACTCAAAAGAAGAGTATAATTCGGTTTTTAAAAACTTTTCTAATTCCCGAATAATTTTGAACCCGACCTGCTGTTACACTTGCATTCAGGGTTTCAAAACTACAAGCTGTATATTTTCAGTGTACGGAAAACCATGCATTTTTCTACGTTGTTATGAGGAGAACATATGAAGTTCATAAAATTAAGCAGTGCATTTGAGCAATATTGTTAAGTTTACAAGCCACATTCGTAAATGCGGATACATGACGTTACATGAACGGCCATATAACAGTGTTAAAAAATCTAACAATTGGACACTTCTTTCAAACCGGATTATACTCTTCTTTTGAGTATCAAATTGAAAGAAGACGTGATTTTCTACCGAATACGTAAAAGAATGAATATGTTTATGCATACTTTCCATGAAATATAATTGAATTTTCAAGGGCACCGAAAATCAATAAGAAAATTGAATACTAATTAAGTAGTCATTTTTTGCAGATTATAGATCTTGCATGCAGCCGAAAATAAGTTCTTTCGAAAGCCGACACCCTGAGGTAACTGGATCATTATAGATGTATGCCGCATCATAATTAGTTTTACAACACGACTTAATTTATCTTTTCGAAACGAGAACGCATTTTGAAATTTTGGTCGACATTTCATGAGTTAGCACATCTACTGTAATTAGCAAATATCGTCGGCGGAAATGTGACCTTCAGTCCCGGAACGGTTTTGCCATCATCGCTGGTGACTGAGAACGATACCATACAATATATCACACCTGACAGCACAAGTGCTAGCAAAAACACATAGAAATGGCTCGAAGATATTCAGCCACTGCATGGCGCAGCTGCGAGGGGTTAGGCTCATCAGTAGGTTCCTCGGTATTCCTGTGCGCTTTCTGATAGACAAATTAGTTCTGAAAGTGAGAACGCTAAACAGCATTCCATCACAGATGCGATGTCTTTCCTGCACATTGCTGAAGCGAGTCTCTGACGGTGAGACAAGGAAAACATCGACAGAACAAAACGTAACCGGTCGAAACAACCTACTGCCTGCCACGTCTACAGGCAGATGATGTGCAGGTGAAAGTGCTGAAGGCTGTGCGTGAGTTAACTAGCGGGATCCCCCAGCGCAGGCGCGGAAGTGCTCCACCACATGTCGACCGGCCACCACAGTCCGCCGTTGGATAGCAGCTCAAAGGCACACCTGCTGAAACAAAGTCGAATAACGTGACCTTCTGCGCCGGAAAGTTGGAGTAATCACTGTGGGTGGCTAAGAATTGACCTAGCACGATATACTATAGTTGACAGCATAGTTTCTGGATAAAAGCCCAGACAAACGTTTTTTCGTTATTCTGCCGCTGTATGGCGCAGCTACGAGAGGTTCGGCTCAACAGTAGGTCCCTCGGAGTTCCCTGTGTGCTCTCTGGTAGTGAAAGCAGTTCGAATGTTGAGAACACCTACAGCCAGTCAACTCCGCTAAAGAGTACTCTAGCACAGTCGCTTGCCTTGAGATTGAGTAAGGGAACATAGCAGCGGTCAAGAGGAAGTTAAATTATAGTTCTCCGAACTGTTCCGACAATTAAACCCAGCCCTCTGGCTGATACTATAATAAGTGCCTGCAAATATGCGAAGAATATGTCGAAACACAGGGATACGCCTGCTTACCAACGTATTCTTCAAAAGAGGACACAAAGGCTTGCCGAATTCAGTCAACTCGGTGGGTACAGAGAGGGTCATATAAGATTCCAACCATGAGATGACGGCTTCTTATTTTTTGCCGCTTAACACAGATTTCAATTTTAATCTTCTATATGTTGTCTGTATTTCGGATGAGAGCCAGGGAACAAAACAAAAGACGTAAAGACACTTTTTCAAGGGATTGCAAGACGACTAGACCATCTCTCATAATTGAATTAGCTTGATCTGTTTGCCCTGCGATAGGTCGCCTTTGAAGTGGTGCCTGTCGTCTAGAAAATGCACATTAACTTTATGTGTCCGAAATTAAACATATAAATGCAATTAGGCATTCCAGAGTAGTAAAATGCAGCGCGAATTCGGAATTATTATGCATGACTGGACAGTAGCAGGAGTAGAGGATTCGATGTGAATGAATAACCCAGGGTATGACGGCGATAGAGCAACTTAAGATACCCGCGCTCAAAACAAAGGCATATAAAACGCCGAGGATTCACTCCGAGGTTAAAAGTAAGCAATTACGGTAGGTTGACTAACTCATGAAATGTCAATTGCAATTCTGAAATGCGTTTTCGTTTCAAAAAAGATAAATTAACTAGTCTTGTAAAACTAATAATAATGCAGCGTAGTTATGCGGTAAATCAGGTACCTCAAGATGCCGGAGTTCAAACGGCCTTCTTCTCGGCTGCATGCAAAAACTATACTCTGTAAA